AATGATAGTCTATAGAAGGGAAAAAGAGGTTGGGGTTGGGAGAAGACTAATTTACATCGACTATTGTGAATAGAATAAGCCTAGATAGGAGAAGACAAAAAAAAAAGGAAGCAACTCTATGTCCTCAAATTACATTAGACCAAATACTAAGAAAATTTTGATCGGATGAAATACTAATTCGTAAACTATTTTGTTTGGTAAATGCGTTTATTTTAATATTTTTAATTTATTTTCCTATATTATTTTAACTAATTTCTGAAAATAAGCTAACGTTTAAACTGTTAATTTTTTTAAAATATTTTTTACTTCAAATAATTAAATATTTCATTTTATATTTATCAGTTAATCATATTAAATATATTTCATTCAATCAATTAATTTATAGTTTCTAACCTTTTAACTCCTAACTTATAATTTATAATTTTTAACTAATTTATAAACTTCTAGCTAACCTATACATTACTTTTATCAAACTCATCATAAAACAGAAGCTCCAGTGGACTAGTGAAAACAAATTAGATTTGAATTTTCCCTAACGGGTACAAAGGATCCAAATATATATATATATATATATAATCTAAGAGATATAAACTTTCCATCTAACGGTTAGATTTACAAAATTCACATTTAATATAAAGTTATTGAGTGGTGTAACACTTAGTAAAAGTTACACCGGTGTCATTTGAACCCTCCTCATATATATAGTGAGAAGGGATTCACTCACATTAAGAGTAAGTCTATTTAGATTTATTCTATTCAATAATTCATGTTTTATATCAAATTCTAACGATTTTATCATTAAATTAAAAGTTTTTAATGTATAGATCAAGTTTACAAAATTTTAAAAAATTTAAAAATTATTTAATATTTTATTTTATTAATTCAAATTTCAACAATATATATATATATAATTAGGATCTGTTAATATTATAATATCAAATTAGTGAAATAATATTTTTAATAATGTGTTACAAAATGTAAATTTAACAAATTGAATCATTGTATTTGATAATATTACTAAGTAGATCAAGTATAAAAAATTATATATAATTTTAAAATTATTTGATAGTTCATCATATTACTTTATTATAATGTGTAAAATAACATTTACAAATAATTTTTATTATAGAATTTCTAAATTAGTTTTTTGAGATTGTAAGAGTTATATACTTTAATCCCAGGGTTTCAACAATTAGTTCCCAATTTTTAGAAAATGAGATTCCCAGACAGTAAACTTATAATAATTTTATATTATTTTTCTAAAAATAATTTTTTTACTGTTTGTATCTCCTAATTAATATTTTAATGTCTCTTGATTACTTCAATCTTTCACTAACCTATTTTAATTAAAAATATTTTTGTTTAAAAATATTTAATACATAAAACAATATAGATTGAATTTTATATAAAGAAATAAATAATTATTTTACATTAAATGTTATAAACAGAAACAAAGAGGTAGTATACTACATAGCCATGTTTGGTGTTCAAAGCTCTTTAATTCCAAAACCAAAAGAGATATTCATGATTAGTGAATCTCATGCATCACGTCTGGATCCTCTACAGCCTCTATCTCTTTTCATACTTCCTTCTCATTTCTCCATTATCTGTTTTATTTTGTTTATTTTTTTTACTTGTTTCAGCTTTTAGTTTTCTTAGGTGCAGAGGCTGTAGAAAATCTAATATTTTAATAATTTTTTGGGATCAACTGGTTGCAAGTAAAACAAAGTGAAAAAAGTCATGTGAAACATAACATTTATAGGTTGCTTAGAAAAGCTGACGTGGGTGGACAAATAATTAAATTTAAAAAAATAATAAATAAATAAAACTCTAAAATTAGCCTTTATATTTATGGCTGCATAGCCAAACACCATTTCTGCAAAAAAGTTTCCACTGGCATTTGCCTATCATGCTGGCCCTTCCTTCTATATATATGGCTATTTCCTTTTCTTCATCTTCCCTTGTTAAAGTGAACTTTTAAGACCTTACACGGCTTTCCTTTGAACTGTGACTTAATACAATTCCAGCTATAATTTATAGTTCAAAATGGACTTTATAGCAACAACTTTGTGTATTAATGTGCAGGTACATGAAAATTGAAATGTATAAAGACCAAAGCAGACAAAACCTATTTATGTGATCTTAGTAGGCTTTAAAGGTACACAAATTCACATGTAGAAGCTTCAGCAGCCACAGTTTCAAGTTTTTGGTGAAGTATCATCATAACATTTGGAAGGTTCAGGAGCCTTCTTTGCTTCCTATGTGTTTCTTCACCATGGATTGAGGCTTTTATAAGTCCTTCTTAGACGGCGGATTATAAATAAACATTTTAATAGAACTGTTTAATAAACGGGAAATATCTTTAATTATATATAAATTAAATTGTTCTGATTTATTTTTAGAATAAATATACATTTAAAATTAATTTTATTTTATTTATTTTTTACTTTTAATATAAAATTTATAATTAAACATATACCATGATACCCATATATATATATACATATGAGGGGGTTTATAATAACACCAGTATAACTTTTACTAAGTATTACACCACTTAATAACTTAATATTAAATGTGAATTTTGTAAATCCAACCGTTGGATTAAAAGTTCATATATCACTTTATATGTGTATATCAATTTTTTTTTTTAAAATTGAACAACAACTTAAAAGTAATCAAAGCGTTCATATTTTAGTATATTTTGAAATGAATATATTACGTTAATTTTGTTTTATAAGAATGAAGTATCAAATCATCTTGAATTAATATAAAATTTTGTATATATGATTTAAGAATAAAGAACTTTCAATCTAACAGTTGGATTTACAAAATTCACATTTAATATAGAGTTATTGAGTGGCGTAATATTTAGTAAAAGTTACACTGGTATTATTATCTCTATATATATATATATACCGAGTGTTAAAAAATGTATGACCAATGATCCAGAATTTTTTTATGGAATATTCAAAAAAATAAATATATATATATATATATATATATAGTCATTTAATGGTTATCCATGCAATAGTGAATGATTATACTATTATTAACACTTATTGCACATCATTGTCATCTCTACACCTAAGTCTAAATACAAATTCAATAAGTACTTATGACCGCTAGGGTTAGACAGATAGTTGTGAAAAAAGGATTAGGTAGAATCGATAAGATCTAAGTTTGATTTTCATGTTATTGTAATATTTCATATAGACAAAAAAACATACTTCTAAAAAATGAATTAGACATTTTTCATAAATAATAATCAACTTACCTTATTTTTAGAGAAATTAAATAAAACAACATTTATAAAAGTTATAGTGCATAAATTAATTTTAACTTATGAAAATTTTAAAATTTATTTTATTTACTAATTTTCTTATTTTATAAGTACTTAAGTAGTTTATTTTTCATATAAAAAAAATGAAAAGTTATTTAAAAATGACCTTAGTGTGCTGAAAAAGATTATTTGATCACAAACTAGTAACGGCAACCTTATGTTTTGTGTGAAAGGCAAAAAATAACTTTAATATATGGTTAATAATCTTGCCAAAAGAAAAGAAACAAATAAGTGATCATGATAAAATAGGAAAAAACAAACCTAAAATTCTCAGCACCAGGAGTCAAAGGGAAATGAATACTAACTTAAATAGCTAGCATTATATGATTCTTGGTTTGTGTGTGACATTCGAGCGATAATCATAATGGCTTTGCTTTATGGTTGACTTAGCATTAGAGTGACAACAGAAATCATGTTACCATATTTTCTCGTGGTGCCAACCCCAACTACACATTTTTCAACTAGGATGCTACTTCCATTTCCCATATGGAACCAGACAACCGAGTAAGCCTTACAAGATTCCTTCGTAAATAGTTTTTTTCGTATCACAGAACTTAATAATCTATCATCATTGTACATGTTTCTAAAATCAGGTTCAGTGCGTGCTTCTCTAGACATCTTGTGTTAGCACTTAGCACTATAGTTTAAAGCTTCAAAAAAGCCATGAAGGTGTAGATTTTCCCTTTTTGGGCTTTCTGTGGACCAAAAATAAAGCACATTCAATTTCGATTTATGCAGCAACAAAAGGAAGCTGGTACACACAACTATGGTCCTTGGATAGAATGGAACAACCTCATCTTACCATTCTAGAGAAATCTAAGAAGCAACATGCGCATACTCATTTTATAATGAGTAAATCCCTAAAGTTGTTCCTTCAAATCGTCTCATCATGTTGGCCTTCTAAAATGTTTATTCACTAAATTAATCCTGTAAAGATTAGTGTATCCTCATAATAATGGTTCATAATCTGCCACCAAATTATTTTTCATATATGCAAAAAAGAAATAATAAATTTATTCTTTATGATCATTACTTTAATTCTCCATAATAGCAAATATAACAATATTTTAAATTTTGGATTAAATATCCTTCTAGTCCTATAGTTTCGTGAAATATCCCTTTTAGTTGTTGTAATTAAAAATATCCTATTTTAATCTCCATACATATAATTTTGTTTCCTTTTAATTCCTATAGTTACATAAACTTTACTTTTTATTCTATGGAAAAATATATATTAAGAACTAAAAGAAAACTAAAATGATATGTATAAGAACTAAAATGAAACATTTTTAAGTTGAGGCTAAAATGTAAAGTTTATAAAACTATAGGGACTTAGAGCGTAATTAAACCTTTGATTTTGTTGAAGAGTAATGTGACAATGTGCAAATCTTCAAAAGTATAATCTGATAGTAGACTAATCTAAGGTTAAAGATTACTCATTTATAATTGGTTTTTATCCAATTCATTCTACAATTAAAAACCTTACCTCTGGTGTTAAAGTGTTACATATCTGACAGAGACCAGGACCCATACAATGTTGTACAACCGGTTGGTTTGGTCGTGGTGGTCACAGCCTGGGCCACAGGATACATATAATATACAATTATTGTTTCAAGGTCCCAGAAAAGAAATTTTGAAAAAGAAGCAGCATACTTGGGAATCCATGGAAAATCAATTTGATTCCACTTAATTGTGGGCTTTGCAATAATTCCCCTTCACTGAAAATCACTTCTTAAAAAAGAATACACTTTTTTTCAAAAGGTGAAATTGCAGCATGCACTAAAGGATAGCACCACCCCCATTATATGTTAAAACACAGGGTGAGGCTTTAAGAAGGAAATCATCAATCAAAGCCAACTTATTCTGAATCTCATTAAAACTTCTACTTCCCTAATTCCTTGGATTACAAACTAAAGAAGGAAAGTTGCTTCTTCAACACCATCTGCAACATGTTATGGCTACTTTCCATCTTTCCCCTAGAGACATTTCCCACCAAAGCCTGCATTTCTGGAAAGTGCTTGTTTTATCTCTTCATGGCTAATACAATTTCTCTGTTCGGCTACCTATGACCATGAAAAGAGTAAATGTTTGTTCAGTTTCAACTTTGAAGCATGTAATGAATATTGAAGCACTAAAACAGAATACCAACCTCAGAACAAGATGCTTCCATTGAAAAGTCATTGAAGCTACTTATAACACATTGCTGAATCTCTAGGCCTAATGCTTCTAAGGTATTGACAGTTGATAGTAGCAATCCAGGCTTTGTGGCACAGCAGATGCTGATCCTAGTGTCCTGGTCTCTCCTCTCAACATCAAACTGCAAATGCATACATTTATCTAGAAACTGGTCAATTGGGTCTGAGATTATGCTTTAAATCATGGGGTTGGTTTGGTAGAGTACCTTGGGGGAGTTTCTTACTATTGCTTCATTTGGCTTGAGTTGTTCCTTTGAAAAGCCCAACAGATTCATCTGACTTGTGCCCTCTTCCCCCTCTTCCTCTTGCAACTTACCAATCCTCTCTAGAAGCTCTTTCATGTAGTCTATGGTATCCCCAAGAATAGAAGTCCTATCCATCTGTCAAAAGTTCACAAATCTCTCAAGTTAGTAAGCAAATCAAGAAAAACAAACAAATAAAAAGGCCAAACATGGGTTATGGTATGGATTTGAACCCAACTTGATAAACCTTTCTTTTCTTCCTTTTTAATTTCATTTTGATTCTATACCCAAGTGGAGGATCAAAGTGTGATCTTTAGTTAAATAACACAAGTGTTTCTCACTACTTACACTAAAATTGAATTGAGAAATCTAATTTCCTTTTTATTGATTGCGAAAAAAAAAAAAAAAAAAACTTTTTTTATGTGGCAATCAATGAAAATGAATCACCTTGCTGATCTTGGGGACTATTGACCTTAGCATGGAAAGACGGTCATTGAGACGCTTTCTTCTCCTCCTTTCCGCCATGAGATTCTTGGAGGGCTGCCCCTCAAGCTTCTTGGGCTTGGGCTTTCTGTCTCGATCATCACAGAGGCCCACGTTGAAGAGAGGAACAACAACCTCCGTGCCCTGCTCCTCAACTTTGCAGACACCCTTGGTTTCTCCAAAGTGGGTGTTGTCACGAAAGGCAACCTCTTGAGCCTGGAGAGACGGTGGAAGTGGTGGAGGGTCATCACTCAATGGCATTGCGAAGGCATCGGAAAAAGGGTAGGAAGGAGGCACTTGGGTGGAGTAGGGGCATTCGAATCTGCGGTCCAATGCAGGAAATGGGGGCAAAGAAGGGGTCTCAAGGAAAGAGTCGAAAGTCCAAGCATTGGGAAGAAGGTCACAGAAGGCAGTGGAGAAAGCGTTCCATGTGTCTCTTCTTGGAGCAACTAACTCATCAAGGAAACCAAGTTGAGAAAGCTCCATCACTCCCTCCCTTCCTTCTCTGCTCAACAAGGGAAGTGAAACTTTGACACTCTGACCTAACTGGTGACCACGCGACAAGGTTTTACACAACTTCAAACCACTTTAAATAATGCCTCACATCATCACAGTAGTACCCATATCATTATTACCCATACGGAAAATAGAAAGAAAAAAAAAAAAAAGACATAATTATTAAGAGATTATTTTCTTGTTTTGTTATTAGTCATAATAATTCCATTTCGTTGTAAATGAGAGTAGGGATGACAAATATACCCGTACTCGTAGGTAATACCCGAACCCGTCCCGACTTTGACGGGGAATACCCGGTTTGACCGGGTACGGGTACGGGTAAAACCCGATATATTGAATCGGGTACGGGTACGGGTACGGGTATGTACTTACCCGCCCCGTACTCGTACCCGTACCCGTCCCCGTTCTCATTTTTAATTTAATATTCACTTTTAATTTAATTATATTAAAAAATTTTAATATTTTTTTATGTATGATTATTTATTATAATGTGAGATAAAAAAATAACTTAATTATAATTATAATATAATAACAAAAAATAATTTAAAAATATTATTTTTTTTTAAAAAAATAAAAAATAAAAAAATTGACGGGTACGGGTACGGGTACGGGTATACCCGATACCCGACGGGGACGGGGATGGGGATGAAAATCCATACCCGACGGGTATGGGGACGGGGATGGGGATGAGTTTTACTTGCGGGGACGGGGACGGGTATCATGAAACCCGTACCCGCCCCGCCCCGTTGCCATCCCTAAATGAGAGTGATCGACTTTGATTCTTTAAATAATCTCATGTTATGATTTTATTATTAGAAAAATTGTGATTTAAGGAGAGGTTTTATTATAGATAGTTAACCAAGAAAAATTATTTATTAGTAAAATTTAATACTTCATATTAATATTATATTATAAAAAAAAATTTTATTAAAAAAAATTATGATTGAGTGAAGAGACTTGGCTAAAAAAAATTGGTCAAGAGAAATTAAATTTATTTTCTTACGATGTAATTTCTTTTTAAGAGTATATTTAGTATTTTACGAGTACAACTAATATTTGAAAAATGTGTTTATTTGAGCTTATTTGGGCCGAGAGTGAAGAGCATTTCTCCTTGAGTGGGACATCCAAATTGGTATCTCCACACTCTTTGACTCTTTCATTGGTTCACACATCACTAACACACTCTCATCACACCTTGTCATGTGACAAACTCTTATTTGCTCTTTTAGATCTAGGATTCTGACATTTTTAGGAGGAAATTCAAATTCAAATTTTAAAATTAAACTATAGTTAGTTGGTTTGAGTACAAGTTAACTTAATCTTGATTATACTTAACCTTGGTTAGCTTATTCTTATTTGCAGATCAGAGTCGTTCACTTCTCTGTCGAAAGAGCGTATTCTTTTATTGCAGCTAATTACAACTTACACCATAATTTACCAAACTTATATATATTTTTTTTGAGACTTTGAGCCATTATATGAGGATTGAGTTTCTAAAATTCTCTCTTCAAAGTTTTGTTCTTTCCTTGGAGAATTTTTTCCTTATGATCTTTCATCAAGGAATTCCTCCTTGTGGCAACATCATCCTCTCTTGCTTATCCTTCTCTTGAAGGTGGTGCACCTCACTTCTATTCTTCCTTCCATATTTTGTTTGTTTTCATTTCAATTGGATCTATAGGAGAAGATTGGATGAGCAAGGAAGCTAGTTGAGTGGATTCGGTCATCATCTCTCCATTAATTTTTCATCATATTAGTATTAAAGTAATAAATTCTTGACTTATAGCTTATAAATTTTTTTTTCATCATATTGATATAAAAAAAAACTCTTGACTTATAAATTTTCAGGTAACTTATAAGTTGTTAGTCAACTTATAAATTAGTTTTACCAAACACATCTTTATTTACTCATCTTGCACTCGCTATCCAAACCTACGACTTTTTAATCCATTGAAAATACAATAATGACTTCAGGGTTCAAACCTAAAATCATGTGTATGTTATCCTAACTCTCACCACTAGGCCAACCCTAGTGGTTCTATCCACACCTACATGGGCATAGTAAAAAATTTATGGTTTTAGGTAAAATTAATATTGAATATTTAGTTTAAATAAATTATCAAAACTCTTTTTATTTCTTATAAACTATAAAACTATTAATCAGAGTTTATAATTAATTAAATATTTCTAACATTTGTCTATCAATATGTTAAAAGTCAAATTCATTTAATATATTATTTGACCTAGTTTTTTATTTTTTATTTTTATAATTAATGAGTATTCCTTGTCGAATATAAGAACAATCTCCTTTGAAAATTTGATAGACATCAAATAAGTTGACATGCTTTTTCAACTTGAGTTTTATGCATTTGTAATAAACACTGCAATAAAATTTGAATAACTTTAAAAACACTTATGATAACAATACTTTCAAATATTTTAAATTATTTTTTCTACATTTGAAAAACAAATACACTCTTTATATATATTTTTATTTTTAGTAGGTTATTAGAGGTGTCAAAGTAAGCCAACCTGACTTACACAGGTTGGTGTTTTAAATGGATCAACCCAACATGACTCATTTTTTAGTGAGCTAGAAAAATTTCAACCTAACTCAACCCATTATGAGTTGGTGGGTTAGGTGGATTGGTTCACCATGTGACACCCTTTAGCCCACACACTCACATAGTCATAATATAAAGAAAATAGGAATAAACGTTTGCAATTAAACTTTATTGAATAAACAAACTTTGTAAATACCTTCGGATAAAGGTATCACATCATAAAACATAACATATCACTGATACTAAACAAATGACTAACAAGTCACTACAACTGATAAAAGAACTAACATAAATCATAATATGAAATAAACCAACAGAAAACATGAAATCTTAACTACAACCCTGATGTAACATCCTATTAAAGCACAACACTAAGCAAAGGCCTAAATCTCATATCTAGCATCAAAATGATGGTTTTCACCTGCAAAACATACATCAAGACACCAAACAAAAGAAAATGGGAGTGAAAACATCTAACTCTAAGTCTAAGTGTAGGATATAGTTGGACAACCAAACACACAGAACAAGCTATAGCAATTCAATATAATATAGCATAACGATCACGGGTTCCAAACATATTTCAACACACTTTTGCACATGAACACATACAATGCAATGGACATGCACTATAATACACATATTGTAACACCCCGATTTTCACAGATTATACGAAGGCTCAAAGCCCAATAAGGGTGATTTAGTAGCCCAAAACGGGTCATTCCCAAATTAGAATGGGTCGTTCCAAACTACTAAAAAGACCTATTTTTGGTAGTTTAGAACGAGTCATTCCCAAGCTGGAAAGGGTCGTTCCAAACTACTAAAAAGGCTTATAACCCTAGTTGGGAACAGGTCGTTCTGGTTTAAGAACGAGTCGTTCCAAACATGACCGTTATGTGTTAAAACGTAACCCTAGAATGGGCTGTTCTGGTTTAAGAATGGGTCATTCTAGATTTGAATTTTAAACATGACGAATGAGTCCAGAACGAGCCGTTTCGGATCCAAAACGAGTCGTTCTGGCTGTTCCTGACATCTATAAATAACAAACTCTAGCACTATTTCTAGACACACTCTCTGAAGACCAAGGAGAACCAAGAGAAGGAGATCAACCATATTCTACCCTAGCTTCGTCTTCTGCTTATCCAGGTAAGGGGGAGTGAGAAACATCGCTCGAGAGTGTGAGAATAATTGTTGGGTAGTAGGATTGGCCCCCAATCCCTTGCCTGATGCATGCTTCTAGGAACAGGAAAAATATGAATGTTTTCTGTTTTGATTTCTGAATGTTTTGTTGTATTCCTTGTGTGTAGAGTGTAAATATGTATTTGATTTCAAAATTAGATAAGTTTTGATATGAATTAGAGTACTATGTGGGTTCTTAAGGGAACCTTATGAGAAACAAACAAAATATGAATGTTTTCTGTTTTGATTTCTGAATGTTTTGTTGTATTCCTTGTGTGTAGAGTGTAAATATGTATTTGATTTCAAAATTAGATAAGTTTTGATATGAATTAGAGTGCTTTGTGAGTTCTTGTGCGAAATCCTATGAGGAACAATTATGAGTATGACTATGTGAAACATGAACAAATGACATGAGACATGATGTGAATGAAAATGTGCTAATGTGAACACTATGACTATGAGAATGTGAAACGTGATGAAATAAGACATGAAATTCCATGATAAGTGAAATGTTGAGTCAATGAAATAGTGAATGTCTGACATACATCATGTGCATATATGATCTATTCCAGGTGTGCTGCTTAGGCCGCATACCAGTGATGTAACAAGCTAACAAGGTGTACCTTGGGTCACTAGTGATGTAACAAGCTAACAAGGTGTACCTTAAGTCACCAATGATGTAACAAGCTAACAAGGTGTACCTTGGGTCATCAGTGATGTAACACGCTATGTGATGAAATGATTTATTCCAGGTGTGCCGCTTAGGCCGCATACCAGTGATGTAACAAGCTATGTGATGAAATAATTTATTCCAGGTGTGCCGCTTAGGCCGCATACTAGTGATGTAACAAGCTATTCTAGGTGTACCTTGGGTAACCAATGATGAAATGATGAGAAATGTGAAACTTCCGTATGGCGTCACATGCATGCATTTATGAGTCGAGTTCCATGACATCATTGTATGATAAATGAGTGTACATGTGATACTGATTATGTATGTGTATTGTTTATATGTGATTGGTGCTTGTGACTTGTAATATGTTTGTTGTGTCTACGTGCTATCTAACCTTTATTTCTACTCCTGATCCTGAGGGAGATGTTTCTCACTCCCTTGTTGTTCTTTGTATGTGTTTAATTTGCGTTGCAGGTGATCATCAACATGAGAATGTTGGTAATGAGGCTTAGGCTTCAGTTGAGCATGCTCTAATAGGATATGTGACATCGGGGCATAGCTAGGCTTAGTTTAGGATGTTATTTCCATTAAACTATTTGAAAACTCAGTTTTATTTCTTTGTAATTTGATTGACATGTTATTTGGATTAAGTTTATGAATGTGAACTCTTTACCCTTATGTGGTTGGAGATTTGGTTTTTAATGAAGAAGAATTTTATTTTTATAATTATTATATATGTATGCTGGGGTAGAGGGTGTCACACATATGCATGTGACACTAGTAAAAATCACATAATGTTGCCCCTTGCTTGAGGCACACAAGAGTAGCCTATGAGAACACGTTGGGTCACATCCTTATCGCACCTTGCACTAGGAGGAAATACACCAAGGTGTGTCATGACAACTGGGTTGCACAAGTTTCATCTCATACACACAAACAGGCAAAACTAAGGTTCCCAAACCCAGCTATCCCTAAAGTCATAATGGATTCCCAAGATTTTACACAAAATGGACTTTTCCTAGTAACATATTTTGTATTGTACCCATAAAAAAAAATTATGTGCATGATGCATTTCACACAAGACCCAATGCAATCATCATGTTATTACATTATCACAAGTACACAACATACACACATTACTCTTATCACTACTAGGCTAACATGCCCAGAATTTATCCATGCTATGTGATAATTGTCAAATATGCATTCATATTTTATTCAATTTAGGTAGTTATTGATATATATTATGCTTTTAAATGTTTTTTTTTGCCACGAAACACTTAGTCAAGAGATCATTTCAATTTTAGTTTAATTGTTTAAATATTAGGTATTTTTTTTATGTCTTTCTTTGTTGAAATGGAACACAAGCCAAAATAATTTGGAAGCTATAAGTTTTAAAGAAAGGCATCACTCTAGGCTCACCAAATCGTCGCTCTAAGCTATGAAAATTCACTTAGAGCTACCACAAATTTGCTCTAAGCAAGGCAAGACAGAGAGCAACACTAAAAAACTACATTTGGTTGCTTAAAACGAGCATCCTAGGCGCTTTGAGCAAGACGAATTCACTTAGAGCTATCACAAAATTCTCTCTAAGCAGGTGAAGATAAAGGACACCCTTGGATGTATGCACTTGGTTGCTTAGAGGAGCAACATGGGTGCTCTAAGGGATTGGACTCAACCCAAAAGTCTATCATAAATTATTATAAAATTAGGATTTCTAGAGGTCTATAGGTGGTTCACATTGTAATACAATTTTTCTATGTACAATTTTAGAGAGATTAGAGAGGGTTCTATGAGATCAACATTATAATCATAGGTTGCTTGAAGATTCATCCAGAGTTGTAATCCTTAGCCATGAATGACTAAGTTCTCAATTGTTGGAGGTTGAGGTAGCTACTGAAACTATATAACTTATTCCTATTTTTCATTCAATAAAAGTATTATTCAATTAATTATTTTTCTTCTATTCTTAATGCTTTTTTTAGACCACCTAATGCATGATTTATTTGAACTAATTGAGTTTGGGAAACCTTTCTGAAACTACGATTTGGAGAAAAACTTATGACATTTATTACTAAGGAATTGAGATAAATCTCATCAATTGACTTTTAGTCATTAACCTTAATGCAGGATTGTTTAACAAAAATTACCAAGGAATTGAGATTTTTCTTAAACAACCTAGATTTTCTCACCTAAAGAATTAGGAGTTTAAATACATGGGTGGGCTGTTGAATTAACTATTTAATTACAAAATTGAATGGAAAAATTATAGAATTTTACGTAGGAATAGTTAGTGAATCAATCTCCGACTAATTTTATCATATATTAAATTCATCCAAATTATTTTTTTCTTTTAATTTATGTAATTAAATATTTCTTTACATAATTCAATTCAATTACTTTTTAATTTACCTATTTAATATCATGATTATATTAAATAACTACAAATGCAAGTCTTTGTGGATATCGATAACTTGGACTTTTGTCCTTTTTACTATTACGTCAGTTGGTATACTTGTTAAATGCATATCACTAAGACTCAATTTAGACGTCACATTACGTGACCATCACATGGTCCACACACAAGCACAACACACTGTATCCCACAAGAGTCATGTTTATAGTTCAAACACAACAATTACACAATATCACCCGATATATCTCAAGATAGAATTATTATGAAATCATCTAATCATATGTTAATACTTCAACCATAGTCACTAAGAGATCAATATCAAGCTAAGTATTTAAATTAATAACTTGACTAGTCTCACAATGTTATTAATATCACACATTAACTCCTTGGGCATTGTTATTACCAAAACATCTCAAGTCATTAATAATTTCACATCATAACCTATTTACAATTGTTCTCTCCCATAAAAATTCCTCTTTCTTAACATTCATATAGGTACCTCAAACCAATTCCTTAGATTAAACACTTAAAGGGTAAAACAATTCAACATCACTCACACAAGTACATCATATTACCATTACATATGGCTTAATTAGAAAGTCTTGATATTTAAGATCAATCTTAAACTACCCACTCAATTAATCACTTAATTATTCTCGTATCACTACTAATATTGTGAATCGTGATCCTAAGCCACATCATTAAAATACCTCAATTAGAATTGGTATAAAAAAATTCTTCACTATTATAATTGTCGAACATTAACTCAATTACTTCCTTATCACTACTAATACCTAGATCATATCCTTAAGCTAACCATCCTCAAGTTATTTCAAACTCATAAATATAACTCATCTTAAGCAATAAGGAGATGAAAAAGGAGAAAATACAAGAAAAGAATGAGAAAAAGGAGCAACAGGATGTGTCACAATCGTGATTCAAGGGTCACAACTGTGACACACTGATCATGCCCATGACTTGCCGATCAAGCTCGTGACTCGTCAATCAAACTGATGACTCGTCGTGACGTGATTTAATCATATACGAACTTCGATTATTGGATCTTATATCTCATCTCATCACCAGATTTCACCAAAAGTGACTATCAAATTAATAGAATAAGAAATTAAAAGCCTAAACCCACTTTATCATACTGTCAATTACTCAAACCCAACATCAATTTCACCGATTTATGCAATTAATTAATTTTGGTTCTCCCAATTCTTCAGAACACGAAAATGTAAGAAAGAAAAAGGAAAAAACATTAAACATAAAACTAACATAACCTTTTTAAAAACATCCCAACCTACATTTAACCATTATTAGTCTAATAATTGTAGTTACTCTTCTCTTAAAATATTTAAAACTTATAAATAATATATAAAATAAACAAATTTTTCTCCAAATACTTATTATAACAAAATATCATAAAAACACATATTTCTCCAATACATAATATACAAAAAAAATTTTGCAAATATTTATTTTTTTACTTAAAACACTCATAATTATTAAAAGTCTCGAAAATATTTTTAAAACTTATTTAATTAATTAAAAAAATTCTTTTAATAATTTTAGAAAACCTGTCTGTGGTATTACACACCAGATTTTTAAAAATAACAAATTAATTACATGTTCTTATTTTTAATAAATAAAATAAAGGCTTATAACTTTCTATCAATAAATCAAGTCTATTATTGATTCAAAAATTTAAATATGAATCAAAATATCAATCGAAACTTCAAATGATAACTACATAAAACATATATATATATATATATATATATATATATATATATAACATTAGTGTATCTTTTATTAAGTATTACACCGTTCAATAACTTTATATTAATTAATTATATATTAACAAAGTATATATATATATATATTAATTGTAGTGGATTAAATAAGCCAATTCATCTTATTTAGACTTGAACCTGTTTAACTCAAGGATTAAGTGAATCAAGTTGGAATTTAACCAAAATTGATATACATTTATTTTCCTAACTCAAATCGATTCAACTCTAGACTTGTGATAAACTAGATTAATCTATCAGATTAGACTCACTTTGACACCTCCATGAACTATAAATTATATTTTAAATTTTATTTTATATAATGTCAAGACAAAACTTATTTACACATATATCTAATAAAATTTCATTACACTACAAGAATGTTTTGATTTAGAGTCGGCCAAAATTTAGAGTCAACTTTTGGCCTGTAGACCCCTAAAATTGTCCGGGTCGGAAATAATATCAATTTTTTTTTTTAAAATTGAACAACAACTTAAAAGTAATCAAAGCGTTCATATTTTAGTATATTTTGAAATGAATATATTACGTTAATTTTGTTTTATAAGAATGAAGTATCAAATCATCTTGAATTAATATAAAATTTTGTATATATGATTTAAGAATAAAGAACTTTCAATCTAACAGTTGGATTTACAAAATTCACATTTAATATAGAGTTATTGAGTGGCGTAATATTTAGTAAAAGTTACACTGGTATTATTATCTCTATATATATATATATACCGAGTGTTAAAAAATGTATGACCAATGATCCAGAATTTTTTTATGGAATATTCAAAAAAATAAAAAACAAATTCTCGTATGACCCACGAGGAAATCTGTGAATGCTATAAGTACACATGAATACAATAATTGCTATAAAACTATGATCAGAGGTTTTTACTGTTAGCTAAACGTAACTGCTCTAGTCTCTAAATTCAAGGGATAATACAAAATTATGAAATTTACATTGCTATGTACAGAAAAGGTAGCAAGTAGCAAATCAAGTGTGCCATTCTTCCTCCTGATATGAGTAACAAAATCCCAAAGTCAAAGGTCATACACCAAGTTGTGGGCCGTTAAAATCTACTTTGGCTTATCATTTCAGCTACCTCACCCATGACGCTTGTCCCTTTAATTTCTAATAGGCGCAGAGCCAAGTCTTCTTCATTCAACTGTCTTAATCCGTTGCTTATTCTCTTCAACATACCCACATCAAGTTCCTGAATCCACAGTGGCGTGCAACTCACCATCAAGCTCATAACCCCAGACACATATGCACGCCAAGTTGCGCAATCACAGCGAAGAGATACTTTTCCATCTAGGGCATTTGCAAGAAATTCTAAATGAATCTCAAGAACCTTTGGTCGTCGTTTTGATGCTGGTGATGAAGTGTCAATACCCCAGGCAAATGTGCCACTAAGTACGGCAAAACTTGCAAGTGCATAACCTCTCAGCATAGCAACTACAACTCCAGATTCTCCCACTTCCTGCTCTAACCCTTGGGCTGATAAAAACCAGGAAGGTAGTGTTTCTGTAAACAAAGATTGAACCAAACCATAACCACCAGATATCCAAAGAAACGATGCCCCAAGAAGAGCGGCATGCTTAACGCGTGTCATTGATGCAGAAAGAGAAACCTGTCCGTATCTCATTCCATATTTAGTCTTCTTGAGCTTATCCACTTCACCCTTGGGCAATCCACCATTTGCTATATCTCTAACTGAAAGCATCAAAAGAGATACAATTTCTTCTGTCAAGAACATGACATCTCTAATAGACCTGAAAACTCTTAAGTAGAAAATCCCAGGAGCAACTGGAGAGATCCCTCCAGAAACGTGAGAACCAAAACCATGACCAAGGAGAGTGCCAACCCCACCATTGTTATAAATACAGGCAGAACCAAGCCCAAGGGTGGAGGTGAAGCAACTTTTTAAGAGCTGAACTACAGCATCCCTGCTGTGGTGGAAGACAGTTGCAGAGGCAGAGAATACAAAAAAGTCACTCCAACGCTTAACCTTCTGAGCCCACAAAGCACCTACAATGGGCATGCATGGCCAGGGGCAACCAGAAGAAAGAGCGATCAAAGATGGGCCAACCAAAACAACGAAGCGCTCATAAGATTTGTCCAATTTATATGTTATTGTGAGGCTTAGAAAGGCCGCCAATGGCAAAGGAAGTGTAGCTGGACCGTTCCCATCTGCTTGCAGCAGTTAAAATTGTAGTGTCAACTAATTGATTTAATAACCTTATGTCCATGTAAATAAAAAGAAAACAAAAAACACGGTCTGCCAAAAACTCGAGATACAGCAAGTTGCTATTTCTATGTCCGTCATATAGCTGGTAGCTAATTGAGGACTTATTCAACACCCACAAATTACTTCCCAAAACAATTATGAAAATGTAAAACATGACAAATTAGTTGGTCTATAGGAAGAAAATGACATGCTGCAAGAATCACCCAGGAAAGGATAATTTGAATTGCACAGAGGGATTAAACTAAGGATTTCCGTTTAATTAATATTTCCACAGATAAGTAAAGTAAACTTAACAAACCTATGGCAAGGCTTGGCACATCAACACCTGTGGCCGCTAGAATTTTCTTGATTTGTTGTTCGACTGTAGATAAATTTGCCGCAGGGCTGGGCCAATCAGTTCCATTCATAAAAGCAGGCTTCCATACGCCACGTGTTACTTCAGCTGATAAGTAGCTTACAATGGTACCCAAAGTTGCCGGGAGAAAATCAGCAAGATCTTTGAGACCTGAAATAAAGATCAAGCAGAGAATTACTACGCAAACAGCCTTAAAACAACTTCAAAAATAAAAAACATGGCAACCTAGCTTAATTATCTCCCAAACTCAATTTTTGTGTTAAAATACATTAAATAAAATTAGTCAATACCAACTTAAAGAAGCATGGATTTACCTAGTGTTTGGCCTAGCTTTTTTTTATCTTAAAAGATACTACTAAGTTGAAGTTAAAAATAATACCTTCTAAAGTTATTTGGTGATTTTATGGTTTTTTACCTTAATTGTAAACTTCTACATTACTAGAGATTTTGTCAAACAATTGGCATGCACTCCAAACATGTCAATACTCCGTATTCATCCTCAAGACTAGTGAGCAAGATGCCATCGGGAGGCATGGCTTTGAGAATGTGGATATGGAGCTTGGTACCATGAAAAATGTCATATAAATTGGAGCGAGTTTTGAGGATGACATAATTGTGGCTGAGACTGAGGATGAACCCCATGAGGTGGAAAAACGAAACAAGGAAATGAGTGATGTTGAGGAAATAGTAGCAGATCACAACTTTGAAGGAGAAGAAATTGGGGAAGGGCACAGTGCAGGCATCTTCATGTCAAATATAATGGTCACCAGGGAGAACATGGGCAAGGAGGGAGGTGTGCTTTCAAAACAGAGAAGCAGAAGATCCACCATTTAGCTCATGTTAAGCTACATTTTTTTTCCTCATTTCTACTTTTATTTTAGAGCTCCAAAATTATGTTTGCCACGACACCTTTTAAGGAAAAGAAAATCTCCAAAAAAATCCAGGTCAAACACTACTTTTATTTGAATGTAAATTCTAAAAGAAAAAGATCTTGAACTAAGTGTCTTTGCCATGGCCAAAAAACTATTACAACAACAAAGCGGTGTCCAGTCCAACTAAAGAAGAGAATCAAGAGAGGAAGCTTATGAAACTTGAAAATTAAAATCAAGAAGGCTGGAAAAAAGAGTTATAAACCATGTAAATGTAATCTCTTTGTGCCTATCTGATGTGATACCCGAATTATACAGTTTTTAGTGTTATTTTGTATTACAGCTACATGAATGAAGAGGGAAGAACATCGGTATTGCTGTATACGAGAGGAGCAGACAACTACAACCCACCAGAATGCAATGCCAAAGCCTAAGTAACTTTTGGGGCTCAGAATTGAGTCACAAACCACAGAACACACACAGCCAGCCCTTAAATTGCTTTTCCTTCTTATAACTGTAAGTAATACAGGAAAAAAAAAAGAAGAAAAAAAAAGAGATACTCCAAAAAAAAAAATAATACTGCATCTCTAAAAAATCATTGTTTGGTCCCCTTAAGAAAAATAGTAAATTAGCAATACTAGAAACTTAGGAGGCATCACTTTGTCACTTCCAGTCATTTTTAGTGGCACATCAAATGTACTTCAGTAATATAATATGAATTATCATTACTATCAGCAGCATATTATGAATTCTGCTGAATTGCTTAAGTTGTGATGTCCAGTACCCCTTGTCTAGTGTTTGTTTCACAGATTCCTACACCTTTATCCAATAACTAAATGCCAATACACAGACCATAAATCCTATATTATGAAACTCCAGAGCTCAACAAGGATGCTTCCCACATTTAACTGAGAAAACTCTTGACAATACTGTATTTATTTCACTGATGAATGGACAAGGATAATTAGTGAATGACAGTTGCATGAGATTTTGGTATATAATCTCTTTTTATAGAAAACATTTGTATTCAGCCTTTCACTTGCCAAGTTATTCCAAGAATCAAGTCATGTTCAATCTTTCATTTTTTCACAGGACATCTTCATTTCATAGCTCTGAGACTCTCACATTTTAAAGCATGAAAGCCTCAGTAATCCTGAATAGTTCTCAATGATGCATAATGATAAAAGCAAATTAAAAAATAAAAAGCTCAAATATATCCACGAGTAAACTGGGCAAACCTGTAGCCAATTCACGAGGAGAGAGTCTTCCATGAGCACAAGCAGTAAGAGCAGCATCAAGAACAAATGGAGTCGCTTCAAGGATGTCCCATGCAGGCACTTTGAGTTTCATCAAAGCATCATCCAATGAAGAAGTGGATGAATTGCTGCTTCCTGAAGTTGTAGGTGTCAATGTCTGAGCACTTCGATTTATTTTCCTGCACATCATGCTTAGTAGTGCTTCAACGATCTGAGAAACTGACCCTCCAGGTCCAGGTGCAAGGGTAGAGCATGTGGATTCAATACATTCTCGATGTTGCCGATACCAGATGTTCAATTTTGGAAAGGAATCCATAAATAAGGGCTCTGTAGAAAAACTTATCAATTTTGAAAATCTTCTACTTCTTACACGATCTTTTGGTGATTTCCCAAAGGATGCTAACATACAATTCCGAACCAATAAAAGATACTCAGGACCTAATTGTGATCCTAATGCTGGAGTTGCTGCACCCCCCATCACATGTTCAATAGGTGGAAGACTAAACCGCCATAATCTCAGCAGGAGAATAAATGCATTAGAGAACACCGCATGGCAAGTGAGTTTTTCACCAGTTACAGCAGTCCATGAGACATTAGGAATACATGATCCAAAAGCCTCACATATTGGCATTAACACAGCTGCAAGTAGTGGAACCTGAAAGAAGACAGTAACATGACTACATAGAATCAGGCAACAAACTAAAAGCAGCAATAGTTATTGTTGAGATCTCATATTGACTAGAGATATAGTCAACATAGTCCATATAAGACTTAAACCATTTTCACCTTACCAATTGATTTTGTAAAGTTGAGTTAAGCCCTAAGACCAAATTTTAAGATGATATCAAAATCTATCCCATATGTCATTGAGTCGCCCATATTTGTCACACTCTAGCTGTCTATTCCTAGGCATGAAGGAGTGTTATTATTGGGCCACCCACATTTGTCCATGCTCCAAATGTCTGGTCATGGCCATGAGAAAGTGGTATTGAGATCTCATAGTGGCTAGAGATATGGACAACGGAATTCTCATAAAATTTGGACAGTCCTCACTTTCCAAGCTGAGCTTGTGGCATGAGTTAGGCCTTAAGCTCACATCATAAGATGATATAAGAACTTATCCTAAATCCATTATCAGGCCACCGGCCACCCATATTTTTCTATGCTCTAAATGTTATTCCCAGGCATGAAAGGATGTTATTGGGCAACCTGCATCTGTCCACACACTATATGTCCAATCCTAGGTGTGAAAGGGTTTGTCTAAATCTCTTGACTAGAGATAATATAGTCCTTGTAAGGCTTTTACTCAACTCTGGTTGTAATGGCCGAAGTTGATTTACGAAAATCAATTGCCTTATATCTTTTTCCAATGTTTTGAGTAAAATATTGGTGGCGACTCCAAGAACCCTTCTTTTTACGAAAACCACTAATCCATGGAGGGTCCCGCTTGGGATTAACATGGATTGGTGAGAGTCATTTAAACAAAATTGTTAGCTCGATGAGGTCTCAGTTTGAGAATAAGTCGCTCTAACAATCCATCATTTTTTCAAATCTAATAAGAGTCCAACCATCGTCGCGAATGCCAATGTCCGTTTCGGCGGGTGGCGACATGGCCGACTCTAAATCATAAAAATCGATTCGTCGATTTTTAGCTGACGCTAAAGCCGACACTATGTTGACACAAAATTTATTTTATTTTTTTTCTTTATCTTCTTTTTCCAGCTTATCATTTATTCGTTCATATTTTTAACATTCCTGGGACTCGATCCGTGAACCTTGAGGTCTTAAGTGAAGTTGATAACCAAGTGTACCAAGACACATTATGCGTATATAACATTAAAAAAATTATCTTTATCTCTTTTAAAGCACCTATACCGTTAGAAAAGCTGACATTATTTTAAGATGTAGCATCGGCTTTTTCGACACTAAATTTAAATTAAGTTTAGTGTCGGAAAAGCCGACGCTATTCTTTAAATATAGGGTCGGCTTTTCGGACGCTAAACTTAAAATAAATTTAAATTAAATATTTTAAATTTAGCGTCGGAAAAGTCGATACTATTCTTTAAATATAGAATTGGCTTTTTTGACACTAATTTAATTTAAATTTAAATTTAATTAGTGTCGAAAAAGTCGACGCTATATTTAAAATAACGTCAGCTTTTTTGACACTATTTACGTCGGCTATTAACCGACGCTTATTTTCCGCCACTTATTTACTGTTTTCTTGTAGTGTTATTTTATCATATCATCTCATTTATTAATATGATGTTGTGATAGATTGGGTACTATAATATACACATATTTGTACTTTTTTCTATTAAATTTTGTGGCTAAATATCCCAACTCGAACTCATTTTTATTGATCGCAAGTGTTTAATCTATTCAACTGTGTGAGTATTTTTTTTTTTTTTTTAAATATCCTTAAGATTTGAGTACAATCGTCATCCCTAATGTATCTTCAACAATTTCTTTACTATGTTAAAGTAAGGTTAAACATATGGTTAACCAGATTTGGATTGGATTCACTTTTAACAATTGTTAATGATAATCCTTTTCTAAATATTATAAAATTGAAGTAGCTAAAATTTTATCAAAAAAACAAGTTAGATCCAAAATAAAATATATTTTAATAAGTAACATTTTTCTAATCATACAAACAGTAATTACACCTTTTATACAGTTTTTTTTTTGGTTTAATTTTCCCCCATTTTATCATGACACGTGACACTAATTATGTTAACTATTTATCTCTTTTTTATTTTAAGGTTAAATATATACATGTAGAGATTTTCGATTTGATTTCTATACATAAAAATTAACTAAATTGATCCTCATACATATAAATGTTTCTAATTCAGTTTCTTTTATTATTAATTTTTTTACACATTCTTAATTTAATTTCTACATATAAAATTAAAATAAACCTGTGTTTAGTAAAGAGGAAAGAACTCAAGGGAGAAGAATAGAAAAAGGAGAGAAAAGAAGTGTAAAAAAATAACTAATAAATAAAATAAAAATAAATGTTGTTTGGTAAAAGAGAAACATATAAAAAAAATAGAGTGAAGTTTTTTTATTAATAATTTTATCTATAAATATTAAAAAAAATTATTTTATTAGATTAATTATTATTAGAAGTTTATTTTTTTATAAATAATTTTATTAAAAAATAATATATAAAAATTATTTTTTATTATATATACTTATTATTATTATTGGGAGCTTAATTTTTATAAGTAATTTTACTTAAAAATAATTTATTTATTATTATTGGCGG